GTTCATTTCTAACGTGTCTGTGTCTGTTTAATTGCTGTGGTGTTTTAAAGAGCATAGGTGTGCGTAATACTTTTAATGGTAGCGTCTTCTCTAGACCATTTCCATTGGGTGTAATTGTTGTCGTGGTTGTGTCTCCATCTTACTATTCGTGTTTTTCTTGCCACATCTGTTGTTCCCTTTTCTCTGCCTTATTTTCCTGCTTCTGCGTCTTCATGTTGGTGCTTCATGTTCATCCTTCGTTGGTTTAGTAGCTAGGCCAGTGGTCGGCAAACCATGGCTCGCAAGCCACATGCGGCTCTTTGGCCCCTTGAGTGTGGCGCTTCCGAAGCCTTACGAGTACCCTAATTACGTGAATAACAATGTACCTACCTATATAGTTTAAGTTTGAAAAATTTGGCTCTCAAAAAAAATTTCAATCGTTGTCCTGTTGATATCTGGCTCTGCTGACGAATGAGTTTGCCGACCACTGAGCGAGGCCAACAGTGATGGTTCAACAGCAACCCGGGGCTGCAACGTGCATCGTAACTCACTCCCTCGGCCGTGAGTGATATCACACAACTCTCGGCAGCACATGCCAACTTGACAGTAGTCCACACTCGCCACCCTCTGTTCTGCATATTATTGATTTTACTCTTATGTGCCATAAATCATGCTTATTATTTCTAATTTAAGATTAATTATCATTATAAAATTAGAAAATAAAAAAAGTTTCTGCACTAGCTGGTGTGGTTCAGTGGATAGAGCATCAGGTCGGCCAGTGGACTGAAGGGTCCTAGGTTTGATTCCTGGTCAGGGCACATGCCCGGGTTGCGGGCTTGATCCCCAGTGCGGGGCGTGCAGGAGGCAGCCGATCAGTGATTCTTTCTCATCATCAGTGTTTCTCTCTCTCCCTCTCCCTGCCTCCATGAAATCAATAAAATATGTTTAAAACGTTTTCAGTTTTCCCCAATGGGTTATGGGAAAGCACTCGTCCTGGCTCCCTTTGTGGCTGTTACCTCTCAGCTCTTCACCCTCGGGTTCATAGGACCCTTTTGCAAAGTCAGATGGGGAACATTTATTCAAATCCACTCGTGAGCCTCTTTGAGACATAATCCTGTGTATGCGGCTACTCAGTATTGTACCTCAAATAACAAATCAAAAAAAATTCTCTCTGGATTTTAAGGTTGGGTAATTGCTATTGTTCTATCTTCAAACTTAATTTAAATTTTCATAATTTTAAGATCTTTGATCCGTGAGATTCAGATGTTATTTAAATGTTATCTTAATTTTGTGATGTTTCAGAGGCATTTTAGATTCCCAATATGTCATTTTAAAGACGATTTTTTAGAGAAGCCCTAGGTTTATATGAAAATTAAGAAGAATGTGCAGAGATTCCCCGTATTCGTCCTGCCCCTCCCCCACGAACAGCCTCCCCACCCTCAGCCTCTTCACGGAGCAGCATTTGGCGATCCCCCACGCTCCGCGGTCACATTGGGGTCACCCTGGGGTCCTCTCCCGGGGCTGTACATCCCACGGGTTGAATAAGTGCCCAATGGCCTGGAGCCACCACTGTGGTCTCACACAGATACCTTCACTGTCCTCCACTCCCCGTCCGATGCCCTCGCCTCCTGCCCCCCGGCCGCCGCGAACTCCCGCAACCACGGGCGGGCTGACTGACGCCGTGGCTCTGCCTTCCACAGACGGTCACAGAGCTGGAGTCATACAATGTGCAGCTTTTCTAGATTGGAATCTCTTTTCATGTACGAATACGTATCTAAGATCCCTCCAGGTCTCGTGGCTTCAAGCTCGTTTCATTTTATCCCGAATAACATCCTGTGGTCTGGGCGCACCCAGTTTGTGTGTCCATTCACCTCCTGAGGGGCGTCTTGGCTCCTCAACTCTCGACGATGACGTAGAAGCTGCTCCCACATCCCATGCAGCTTTCTGTGGACATAAGAGCACAAGCTGGAGCACGTGGGAGCGTCGGCTTAGTTTTATAAGAAACTATAAACCTGTCTTCCCACGTGGCCGCACCGATTGGCTCCCACCAGCCGTGAATGAGGGCTCTGCTGGCTTCTCAGTCCTGTGGGCGCCTGCTGTTGGGTTTTGGCCGCTCTCATAGGTGGTGGCAGCGTCTAATTGTCATTTTAATGTGCATTTCTTGGATGACGTCTCACGTGAACCATCTTATCATGTGGTCATTTGCAATCTTCTTTGGTGAAGTGTCTGTCAAGGTCCCTGGCCCCTGGTTACATAAGGTCGTTTGCTTTCTTATTATTGAGTTTTAAGAGCTCTTTGTATATTTTGGATAAAACTGCCAGATGTGCTCCTTGCAAATACTTCCTCCCCGTGTGTGGCCTGTCTGTTGGCTGGCTGACGTGGTCTTCTGCCGACGTTTTGATTGTAACAAGGTCTGGCTTATCCCTTCTTCCTGTAGTGGCCTGCGCCTTTGGTTTTGTAACTAGGTCCCGGCCATCCCCAAGGTCATCAAGGTTCCCTCCTATGAAATCTTCTAGAAGATTTATAGTTTTTATTTTATATTTATGTCTGAGACACATTTCAGGTTAATTGTCATCAAGGGTGCGAAGTCTATTTCTAGATTTTTTTTCATTTTTTGTGTGTGTGGACGGCCACTTGTTTCTGCACCATCTGTTGAAAGGCCGTCTTTTCCGCATTCACAGAGACCAGCTGTCACCTACTTAAGTGAGTCTGCTTCTGGGCTATTCCGCTCCATTGCTTTTGCTGTTTCACCAAGACCTCCCTGTGCTGATGACTGTGGCTTCATCGTGAGAATTGAAGTCGAGTAGAGTTCGTTCTCCAACTGGCTCCTTCCCTCGACATTGTGCTGGCTGTTCTGGACCCCCCTCGCCATGGAAACTTTATAATCACTTTGGTGAAATCCACACAACAATAGGCTGGAACTTTGAGTGGGATTGCAGGGAATCTGAGAACTATCTTTAGAGTATTGAGTCCTCCCATCCGTAAACATAGAATAGCTATTCATTTAGTTCTTCCCTAATTTCCTACGTCAGAGTTTTATGGTTTTGCTCATATAGATCTTGTACCCATTTCTTTTAGATTTATATCTAAGTATTTTATATTTTTGCTGTTGTAGTCCATGCTATTATTGTCTAATTTCATATTAATATGTACAAAAGCAATTGACTTTTCTATATTAACCTTGCATACTCTATCCTTGCTTTAATCACTTGTTACTGATAGGAATTTTGTTTTTTAGGTTGTTTCTTTTGGATTTTCTATGTAGACAATCATGCCCCAGATGGAAAAGGGCAATTTCATTTCTTTCTTTCTCTCAGGATAACTTTCATCTCTTTTAAAAAATCTTTATTGTTGCGCGTATCACAGACATCCCCCTTTATCCCCTCATTGCCACCCTTCACCCAGTTCCCATCCCACCCCAAGACTTCACCACCCTGTTGTCTGTGTCCATAGGTGATGCATATATGCATATCATCTCTGCCTTCTCCCCACCCCCCTTCCCTCTGAGACTCATTGGTCTGTTCCATTTAATCTCTTTTTCTTGGGCATCAGCACGGTCTTCCATTTGACATTGAGGAGAAATATGGAGAGAACTTCCTTACCTTGCTCCTAATCACAGCAGGAAAACGTCTGGTTTCTTGCTGTTAAGTGTGCGTGATGCTGCTGATAGGATTTGTGTACATATTATACTCTCTGTCAAGTTGAGGGAGTTTCCTTTTTTCCTGATTACGGGAACATTTTACTCATGAATGGATGTTGGATTTTGTCACATGTTTTTTCTGCTTTTATTGAACCGATCATGTAATTTTTCTTCTTCATTCTGCTAATGTCCTAAATTACATGAATTCATTTTTGAGCACCAAACCACCCTTGCATAATTGGGGTCTATCTCGCGAGGTGGATGTGTATAATTCTTCCTATACAATACCAACGTCAAATTGCTGATACTTAATTTTTGTACCATGTTCATTTATACTTTTTGTATCTATGTTCATCCAGGTATATGACTGTAGTCTTTATTTTTGTAATGTCTTTCCCTGGTGTTGGTATTAAGATAATGGTGACCTCATTGAATGAGTTGGTAAGTTTTGTCTCTGATTTTATTTCTGGAAGTGATTGTAGAGAATTGGTGTAACTTATTCTTTAAAACTTTGGTAGAATTTTCCCGTGAAGCTTTCTGTTCTGGAGGGTTATTATTGGTTCAATGTAGTAGGAAGTGATATGCCAATTAAGAGTGTCTGTTTCTTCAGTGAGTTTTATAGGCCACGTGATATTTCACAACAACCCACTGAGTATGTCATTAATCATTATAAACACCCTTTATAATTATGCTAATTACTATTTTATTTAGTTATTTAGATGTGTTTTTGATTCTTACACTGCTATTCGCCTCCCCATCCAGAATATGCCTTCAGTGAGTTTAAAACTCATAACTGAATTTTGAATGAGAACCCACCACAGAAATCAAAGGAGACCTACACACCATGTTTATGGACCAAAAGACTCAATAGTGTGAAGAATCCATTCCCCCACAATTGGTGAATGGATTCCATTCCATCCCCATAAAACTCTCAGCAGGGTATTTTTGTAGATTTTGAAAAGCTGATTCTAAAGTTTAGATGGAAAACAAAGAAACCAGAAGAGCCACGAAAATTGTGAAGAGGAGCAGGTTGGAACACACACATCACCCAGCACTAAGACCTACTGCGACCTGCAGTAAACAGGACCATGTGTGCTGGTGAGAGAATGGCACATGCAGTTGATGACGGAATAAGAAACCCAGGATCGGCGGACACAGTGGCCGATCGGCTTCTGGGAAAGACACAGGGACAGTGAAGATTCTGACACAAAACACAGTTACTTCCAGGATCACATCAAGTTTGTTTATTGAAAAAGTTTAATTTCTTCCAACTCAGGCGTATTTGTGTTCCAGGACAACACAACTTCATAGGATAGAAAGGCCGACGTGGACATTGGGAACGTAATCACAGTTACGTCTTGTGTCTTCAGGTCCCATAATGGAGGCATTACTACTTCCTCAATAACAAACAAGACTTTGATGTAATAACGACGTGTTCAATCCTCACTGGAGTGTGGAGGTAATGAATGGAGCATCGTTCAAAGGAAAAGTGTTAATTTTCAATATTATGTTGGAGGTGCAGAGTGTTCTAAGTGATGTTCTAGCAGCAAGAGGAATAGCATCGTCGGTAGCAGCATGGTCGGAAGGTACAGCAGCCACTGCCATAGCCAGAGCCATAGCCACAGCCATATCCAGAGCCATAGTCAGATCCATAGCCACAGCCATAGCCACAGCCGTAGCCAGAGCCGTAGCCACAGCCATAGCCAGAACCATATCCACAGCCATATTTGGATCCATAGCCACAGCCATATCTGGATCCATAGCCAGAACCGTAGCCAGAGCCATAGCCACAGCCATAGCCACAGCCCCCGTAGGAGTTCCCGTAGTAGTTGCAGCACATGCTGGCGGAGGGTGAGGGTTGGGTTGAGGCGAAGAGGGACGTTTCTGAGTGTGAATGTCGCCTCCTCCCCTGGAAGCTTTATATCCGCCAGAAGGGCCCAGGAATGCCATCGCGTCTGTGACTCACGCAGGAAACATTCACTTAACACCCGGTATGTGCAGGTCACTCCTGTCAGTGGATCATGAGAGGACTCGGTAGTTAACGACCATTAGTATAGAGTCTCTCACTCTTACTGGGAACCCTGTTTGTTTTGTGTCGCCTGGGCCTTGTCTTGAGCCAAGGACACGTCAATGAGAACAGTGTCCATCGATGATCTACTCATCGGAACATGTGGTTTGAAAGCTTCATCCACGAGTCCAGGTTCTGGGGAGGGCGGGGCGTGTCTGTCTGGAATGAGCCTATTAAATGAGCTCCACTCAACGCTTTGACCGGCTAAGGAATTGCTAATGAGTCTGTACTGGATCTCATTGGAGCACAGTGCTGGGCTGCACTGACACTGAGCATTTCCTGGCAGAGGGTTCCTGTAAGTCCGCACTCATGGAGATGCTTGGTTGTGGCCTGTTTTACCCCAGGACCCGCTCCCCAGACTTTTGTATCTGCTCCGTGGGTCCTGCAGATCTACCCAGAGCACCAACCCCACAGAGTGTCCTCACAACGACGTTGTTGAACGTGTTGTTGACCACAGGTCCCTCAGCCATTGCATCTATGTGATGCCCATGAAAATGTGACAGAGTTAGGGACCTTATCACATGGAAATTGAGGTACAAAAGGTTAGGGAACTTACTAAAATGCACACAGCTCATGCAGCATCAAAATCATGTCTCTGTTCCTCTTTGTAATGTGCCATAGGTCCCCGTTTCTAACCATTGCAGACGTGAGCACTTGCCATAACAGGGGGCTCATCATTTCCTACAAGGACCCATTTTCTTGGTAAAGTGACCCTGTTATAAAGCCCCTGGTCACTTCCGAGGCTCTCATTCTTCCCGGGGACACTCTGGGTCCTGCATGAACTTTCCTTCAGCACCTTGTGCAGGAGCCAGAACCCTCAGGCATGGCTGAGGGTACCCCCCCAACCCCCAAGTCTCCCTGTCCCTCCAGGGGCTTTGTCTGTGACATCATCCCCGTGACTGGCCTCCTGACCCCTGTTGATGCGCAGACCTGACCCCCAGGTCACCCTCGCCCCCTGCACCCCCCAGGACATGGAGAGGACCGCGAGGGGCCTGTCGTAGTGACCACACAGGAGCAGCAGGGGCAGCGCCCACCTGTGATCTCACAGACCTTGTGGGTCTGGGGTCTGAGCTCAGCCTGACTGGCATCTCGGCTCCAGTTCTCACAAGGTCACACCCATGGGGTCAGCCAGGACAAAGGGGAATCTGGTTGGCATATCATTTAACTGGAGTTGCCCATTGGCATGTCTGTCCCTGAGAGAGCACGAGACATATTTATGCTAAAAAGTTATCATTTTTAAAACTGAAACTCAATTTATTCATCTTGAAATTTTTATACCAGCCCCAAGCATAACATGATCATAAAAGTGAGTTTTTTCTCCCAACGTGAGAGGCACGTGCTGGTCCCATGCTGCACGGGAGGCCGTTACACGTGGCTGGGTGTCCCTGGGGGTCTGCCTGGACGCTCACTGCCACGCCTGCTGAGGTCTTCCTGACGCCAAACTATGGCATCTCCTCCGGGATAGAGGGGGCGACCGCAATGCGGGGTCAGCATCTGGGCATCGTCTCCCGACCTCAAAGCTGTTTCGCTTCCCGTGTGGTTGGCCGACTCTGACCCACCCCCTTCCTGTTTAAGCTGGAAGTTGGTCTCTTCTTCAGGTAGATTCCTGACCCCTCTCTCTTCTTACTCTTCGTCCTGGCCTCCCTCTGACTTCTTCCTCTGCATTTCCCAGGCACCCCTATGGTGTGTGTCATCATATTAGAGCAATGATGGTGAACCTATGACACGCCTGTTAGAGGTGACACATGAATTCATTTTTTTGGTTGATTTTTCTTTTTTAAATGGCATTTAAATAAAGAAAATAAATATCAAAAATATAATTCTTGGTTTTACTATGGCTGCAAATATTAAAAAATTTCTATATGTGAGATAGCACCAGAGTTAAGTTAGGGTTTTTCAAAATGCTGACACGCCAAGCTCAAAAGGTTCGCCATCACTGTGTTAGAGCAATCATTCCATCTTTATAGCTCGTGTATTATTTGCGTTTCCCACACTTTTAGAAAGCAGGGGTCATATGCGTTTGTTCTCTGTTCATAGCACACAATGAAATGCCCCCTGTTAACAGGTTAATAAATGTGGCAAATGAGACTACGCATAGATCTCACTCATAACAGTCAGTTCTATTTCTTCAGGAATAGCCTCCCTGTGCTGATGCCTGTGCTTCATCGTGAGAATGAAGTCGGGTAGAGTTCGTTCTCCAACTGGCTCCTTCCCTCGACATTGTGCTGGCTGTTCTGGGCCCCCCTTGCCTTGGAAACTTTAAAATCACTTTGGTGAAATCCACACAACAATAAGCTGGAACTTTGAGTGGGATTGCAGGGAATCTGAGAACTATCTCCAGAATATTGAGTCTTCCCATCCGTAAACGTAGAATAGCTATTCATTTAGTTCTTCCCAAATTTTTACATCAGAGTTTTATGGTTTTGATCATATAAATCATGTACACATTTCTTTTAGATTTATATCTAAGTATTTTATATTTTGGCTGTTGTAGTCCATGCTATTATTGTCTAATTTCATGTTAACATGTACAAAAGCAATTGACTTTTGTATAATGACCTTGTATACTCTATCCGTGCTCCAATCACTTGTTACTTAAAGGAGTTTTGTTTTCTCCATTTTTTTTTTTTTGATTTTCTACCTAGACAATCATGCCCAAGTAGAAAAAGACAGTTTCCTTCCTTCCTTCCTTCCTTCCTTCCTTCCTTCCTTCCTTCCTTCCTTCCTCCCTCCCTCCCTCCCTCCCTCCCTCCCTCCTCCCTCCTTCCTTCCTTCCTTCCTTCCTTCCTTCCTTCCTTCCTTCCTTCCTTCCCTCCCCCTTCCCTTCCTTCCTTCCTTTCATTTTTTTCATCTTTTTTTCTTTCTTTCTCTCATAAATATGACTTTTATTTCTTTATCTTGTGTTATTGATCAGCAAGGTCTTCCAATATGACACTGAGGAGAAACACAGAGAGAACGTCCTTGCCTTGCTCCTGATGGCAGCGGGAAATGTCTGGTTTCTTGCTGTTAAGTGTGCGTGATGCTGCTGAGAGGATTTGTGTACATATTACATTCTCCATCACATTGAGGAAGTTCCCTTTTTCCTGATTACGGAAACGTTTTATTCATGACTGGATGTTGGATTTTGTCACATATTGACCGATCATGTGATTTTTCTTCTTCAGGCTGCTGATGTACTAAATTACATGAATTCATTTTTGAGGACTGAACCAGCCTTGCGTAACTGGGGTATATTTAACTAGATGGATGTGTATAATTCTTACACAATGCCAGAGTCAAATTGCTGATGCTTAATTTTTGTACCATGTTCATTTATACCTTTTGTATCTATGTCCATCCAGATATTTGTCTGTAGTCTTTATTTTTGTAATGTCTTTCCCTGGTGGTGGTATTAAGGTAATGGCGACCTCATTGAATGAGTTGGTAAGTTTTCTCTCGGATTTTATGTCTGGAAGTGATTGTAGAGAATTGGTGTAACTTATTGTTTAAAACTTTTGTAGAATTTTCCCGTGAAGTTTTCTGTTTTGGAGGGTTATCATTGGTTCAATGTATTTAGAAGTTACAAGCCTGTGAAGAGTGTCTGTTTCTTCAGTGAGTTTTATAGGCCACGTGATATTTCACAGCAACCCACTGTTTATGTCATTAGTCATTATAAACACCTTTTATAATTCTGTTAATTTACTATTTGTATTTAGTTATTTAGATGTGTCCTTGATTTTGCACTGCTATATGCCTCCCCTCCAGAATATGCCTTCAGTGAGTACAAAGCTCATCATTGAATTTTGAATGAGAACCCACCACAGAAATCAAAGAAGACCTACACACCATGTTTATGGACCAAAAGACTCAATAGTGTGAAGAATCCACTCCCCCACAATTGGTGAATGGATTCCATTCCATCCCCATAAAACTCTCAGCAGGGTATTTTTGTAGATTTTGACAAGCTGATTCTAAAGTTTAGATGGAAAACAAAGAAACCAGAAGAGCCACGAAAATTGTGAAGAGGAGCAGGTTGGAACACACACATCACCCAGCACTAAGACCTACTGCGACCTGCAGTAAACAGGACCCTGTGTGCTGGTGAGAGAATGGCACATGCAGTAGATGACGGAATAAGAAACCCAGGATCGGCGGACACAGTGGCCGATCGGCTTCTGGCAAGGCCACAGGGACAGTGACGATTCTGACACAAACACAGTTACTTCCAGGAACACATCACGTTTGTTTATTGAAAAAGAATAATTTCTTCCAACTCTGGCGTATTTGTGTTCCAGGACAGCACAACTTCATAGGGTAGAAAAGCCAAGCGGGGACATTGGGAACGCATTCACAATCACGTCCTCCGTCTCAGGTCCCACAAGGGACGCATTCCTACTTCCTCAATAACAACAAGACTTGGATGTAAAAACAGGAAGTGTCCAATCCTCACTGGAGTGTAGAGATGACGAATGGGGCATGTTCTAGCAGCAAGTGGAATAGCATCGTCGGTAGCAGCATGGTCGGAAGGTACAGCAGCCACTGCCATACCCAGAGCCGTAGCCACAGCCATATCTGGATCCATAGCCACAGCCATAGCCACAGCCGTAGCCACAGCCATAGCCGGAGCCATAGCCACAGCCTGAGCCTGAGCCATAGCCACAGCCGTAGCCAGAGCCATATCCACAGCCATAACCAGAGCCATAGCGACAGCCATAGCCACAGCCATAGCCAGAGCCATAGCCACAGCCATAACCAGAGCCATAGCCACAGCCGTAGCCACAGCCCCCGTAGGAGTTCCCGTAGTAGTTGCAGCACATGCTGGCGGAGGGTGAGGGTTGGGTTGAGGCGAAGAGGGACGTTTCTGAGTGTGAATGTCGCCTCCTCCCCTGGAAGCTTTATATCAGCCAGGAAAGGCCTGGGAATGCCATCGGGTCTGTGACTCACGCAGGAAACATTCACTTAACACCCGGTATGTGCAGGTCACTCCTGTCAGTGGATCATGGGAGGACTCGGTAGTTAACGACCATTAGTATAGAGTCTCTCACTCTTACTGGGAACCGTGTTTGTTTTGTGTCGCCTGGGCCTTGTCTTGAGCCAATGACATGTCAATGAGAACAGTGCCCATCGAGGATCTACTCATCAGAACACGTGGGTACAAAGCTCAGTCCAGGAGTCAAAGTTCTGGGGAGGGCGGGACATGTCTGTCTGGAATGAGCCTATTAAATGAGCTCCACTCAAAGCTTTGACTGGCTAAGGAATTGCTAATGAGTCTGGACTGGATCTCATTGGAGCGCAGTGCTGGGCTGCACTGACGATGAGCATTTCCTGGCAGAGGGTTCCTGTAAGTCCGCACTCATGGAGATGCTGGGTCTTGGCCTGTTTTACCCCAGGACCCGCTCCCCAGGACATTGGTATCCGCTCTGGGGGTCCTGCAGTTCTACCCAGAGCACCAACCCCACAGAGTGTCCTCACAACGACATTGTTGAACGTGTTGTTGACCACAGGTCCCTCAGACATTGCATCTATGTGATGCCCATGAAAATGTGACAGAGTTAGGGACCTTATCACATGGAAATTGAGGTACAAAAGGTTAGGGAACTTACTAAAATGCACACAGCTCATGCAGCATCAAAATCATGTCTCTGTTCCTCTTTGTAATGTGCCATAGGTCCCCGTTTCTAACCATTGCAGACGTGAGCACTTGCCATAACAGGGGGCTCATCATTTCCTACAAGGACCCATTTTCTTGGTAAAGTGACCCTGTTATAAAGCCCCTGGTCACTTCCGAGGCTCTCATTCTTCCCGGGGACACTCTGGGTCCTGCATGAACTTTCCTTCAGCACCTTGTGCAGGAGCCAGAACCCTCAGGCATGGCTGAGGGTCCCCCCACACCCCCAAGTCTCCCTGTCCCTCCAGGGGCTTTGTCTCTGACATCATCCCCATGACTGGCCTCCTGACCCCTGTTGATGCGCAGACCTGACCCCCAGGTCACCCACGCCCCCTGCACCCCCCAGGACACGGAGAGGACCGCGAGGGGCCTGTCGTAGTGACCGCACAGGAGCAGCAGGGGCAGCGCCCACCTGTGATCTCACAGGCCTTGTGGGTCTGGGGTCTGAGCTCAGCCTGACTGGCATCTCGGCTCCAATTCTCACAAGGTCACACCCAAGGGGTCAGCCAGGACAAAGGGGAATCTGGTTGGCGTATCATTTAACTGGAGTTGCCCTTTGGCATGTCTGTCCCTGAGAGAGCACGAGACATATTTATGCTAAAAAGTTATCATTTTTAAACTGAAATTCAATTTATTCATCTTGAATTTTTCATACCAGCCCCAAGCATAACATGATCATAAAAGTGAGTCTTTTCTCCCAACGTGAGAGGCATGTGCTGGTCCTTCCCATGCTGCACGGGAGGCCGTTACACGTGGCTGGGTGTCCCTGGGGGTCAGCCTGGACGCTCACTGCCACGCCTGCTGAGGTCTTCCTGACGCCAAACTATGGCATCTCCTCCGGGATAGAGGGGGCGACCGCAATGTGGGGTCAGCATCTGGGCACCGTCTCCCGTCCTCAAAGCGATTTCCCTTCGCGTGTCGTTGGCCGACTCTGACCCACCCCCTTCCTGTTTAAGCTGGAAGTTTGCCGCTTCTTCAGGAAGATTCCCGACCCTTTTCTCTTCTTACTCTTTGTCCTGGCCTCTCCTCTGACTTCTTCCTCTGCATTTCCCAGGCACCCCTGTGGTGTGTGTCATCATATTAGAGTAGTGATGGCCAACCTATGACACGCCTGTCAGAGGTGACACGCAAACTCATTTTTTTTTGGTTGATTTTTCTTTGTTAAATGGCATTTAAATATATAAAATAAATATCAAAAATACAAGTCTTGTTTTACTATGGCTGCAAATATCAAACAATTTCTGTATGTGACATGCCAAGCTCAAAAGGTTCGCCATCACTGTGTTAGAACAATCATTCCATCTTTATAGCTTGTGTATTATTTGCGTTTCCCACACTTTTAGAAAGCAGGGGTCACATGCGTTTGTTCTCTGTTCATAGCACACAATGAAATGACCCCTGTTAAGAGTTTAATAAATGTGGCGAATGAGACTACGCATAGATCTCACTCATAACAGTCAGTTCTATTTCTTCAGGAATAGCCTCCCTGTTTGATGCCTGTGGCTTCATCGTGAGAATGAAGTTGGGTAGAGTTCGTTCTCCAACTGGTTCCTTCCCTCGATATTGTGCTGGCTGTTCTGGGCACCCCTCGCCATGGAATCTTTCTAATCACTTTGGTGAAATCCACACAACAATAAGCTGGAACTTTGAGTGGGATTGCAGGGAATCTGAGAACTATCTCCAGAATATTGAGTCTTCCCATCCGTAAACGTAGAATAGCTATTCATTTAGTTCTTCCCAAATTTTTACATCAGAGTTTTATGGTTTTGATCATATAAATCATATACACATTTCTTTTAGATTTATATCTAAGTATTTTATATTTTGGCTGCTATAGTCCATGCTAATTGTCTAATTTCATATTAATATGTAGAAAAGCAATCAATTGACTTTTGTATAATGACCGTGTATACTCTATCCTTGCTTCAATCACTTGTTACTTAGAGATGTTTTGTTTTCTCCGTTTTTTCTTTTGGATTTTCTTCTGGACAATCATGCCCAAGTAGAAAAAGACAGTTTCCTTCCTTCCTTCCTTCCTTCCTTCCTTCCTTCCTTCCTTCCTTCCTTCCTTCCTTCCTTTCTTCCTTCCTTCCTTCCTTCCTCCCTCCCTCCCTCCCTCCCTCCCTCCCTCCTCCTTCCTTCCTTCCTTCCTTCCTTCCTTCCTTCCTTCCTTCCTTCCTTCCTTCCTTCCTTCCTTCCTTTCATTTTTTTCATCTTTTTTTCTTTCTTTCTCTCATAAACATGACTTTTATTTCTTTATCTTGTGTTATTGATCAGCAAGGTCTTCCAATATGACACTGAGGAGAAACACGGAGAGAACGTCCTTGCCTTGCTCCTGATGGCAGCGGGAAATGTCTGGTTTCTTGCTGTTAAGTGTGCGTGATGCTGCTGAGAGGATTTGTGTCCATATTATACTCTCCATCACGTTGAGGAAGCTACCTTTTTCCTGATTATGGGAACGTTTTATTCATGACTGGATGTTGGGTTTTGTCACATATTGACCGATCATGTGATTTTTCTTCTTCAGGCTGCTGATGTACTAAATTACATGAATTCATTTTTGAGCACTGAACCACCGTTGCATAATTGGATATATCTCACGAGGTGGATGTGTATAATTCTTCCTATAGCATGCCGTAGTCAAATTGCTAATACTTAATATTTGTACCATGTTCATTTATACCTTTTGTATCTATGTCCATCCAGATATTTGTCTGTAGTCTTTATTTTTGTAATGTCTTTCCCTGGTGTTGGTATTAAGGTAATGGTGACCTCATTGAATGAGTTGGTAAGTTTTTCCCTTGGATTTTATTTCTGGATGTGATTGTAGAGAATTGGTGTAACTTATTCTTTAAAATTTTGTAGAATTTTCCCGTGAAGCTTTCTGTTTTGGAGGGTTATTTTTGGTTCAATGTATTTAGAAGTTACAAGCCTGTGAAGAGTGTCTGTTTCTTCAGTGAGTTTTATAGGCCACGTGATATTTCACAGCAACCCACTGTTTATGTCATTAGTCATTATAAACACCTTTTATAATTCTGTTAATTTACTATTTGTATTTAGTTATTTAGATGTGTCCTTGATTTTGCACTGCTATATGCCTCCCCATCCAGAATATGCCTTCAGTGAGTACAATGCTCATCATTGAATTTTGAATGAGAACCCGCCACAGAAATAAAAGGGGACCCACACACCATGTTTATGGACCAAACGACTCAATAGTGTGAAGAATCCACTCCCCCACAATTGGTGAACGGATTCCATTTAATCCCAATAAAACTCTCAGCAGGGTGTTTTTGTAGATTTTGACAAGCTGATTCTAAAGTTTAGATGGAAAACAAAGAAACCAGAAGAGCCACGAAAATTGTGAAGAGGAGCAGGTTGGAACCCGCACATCAACCAGCACTAAGACCTACTGCGACCTGCAGTAAACAGGACCCTGTGTGCTGGTGAGAGAATGGCACATGCAGTCGATGACGGAATAAGAAACCCCAGGATCGGCGGACACAGTGGCCGATCGGCCTTCTGGCAAGGCCACAGGGACAGTGAAGATTCTGACACAAACACAGTTACTTACGTCACATCAAGTTTGTTTATTGAAAAAGAATAATTTCTTCCAACTCTGGCGTATTTGTGTTCCAGGACAGCACAACTTCATAGGGTAGAAAAGCCGAGTGTGGACATTGGGAACGCATTCACAATCACGTCCTCCGTCTCAGGTCCCACAAGGGACGCATTCCTACTTCCTCAATAACAACAAGACTTGGATGTAAAAACAGGAAGTGTCCAATCCTCACTGGAGTGTAGAGATGACGAATGGGGCATGTTCTAGCAGCAAGTGGAATAGCATCGTCGGTAGCAGCATGGTCGGAAGGTACAGCAGCCACTGCCATACCCAGAGCCGTAGCCACAGCCATATCTGGATCCATAGCCACAGCCATAGCCACAGCCGTAGCCACAGCCATAGCCGGAGCCATAGCCACAGCCGGAGCCTGAGCCATAGCCACAGCCGTAGCCAGAGCCATATCCACAGCCATAACCAGAGCCATAGCGACAGCCATAGCCACAGCCATAGCCAGAGCCATAGCCACAGCCATAACCAGAGCCATAGCCACAGCCGTAGCCACAGCCCCCGTAGGAGTTCCCGTAGTA